GTTAAAATCGTAGAGTACACTCAGAAGGTGCTTAAATCCTGCAAGCTGGCCAAAACTAAAAGGGTCTGGACCCGGCCAAGCTGTGGATGGGGGGGGGGGTCGTCTAGGAACCCCGATGTCCACTGCCTCAAGTTCTGGGGCGGAAGAAACACGAAGCAGAAATAATTGTACTCTGGCGAGGAGGAAGAGTAAAGGACCACACCGGAGTTATTGGGATACTCACCGGGGACGATGTTTTGGAATGGATCTCATTGTTTTCGGGAGGAGAGTGGAACCTCACGAAGGAGAGGCCGTAGGCCAAGGACTGTGGAGAGAAGGAATGGGCTTGGTTTCAAAGTCGGGACGGTTCCAAGGACTTGCCGCCCCCTCCCAACACATCCAGCCTTTCTAATCATCACATTCCACATGCACCTATTTTCCTTACTCCTTCCGGGTCTGCTGCTATTTATTTATTTAAAATATTTATATACCTACCTTGCCCCCCAAGCATCCCAGGACCCAACCGTTTGCTCATATGTCAAATAAGAACACAGCAGAAGCCATGTTGGATCAGGCCAATGGCCCATCCAGTCCAACACTCTGTGTCACACAGTGGCCAAAACCCAGGTGCCATCAGGAGGTCCACCAGCAGGTCTAGAACTCCAGAAGCCCTCCCACTGTTGCCTTCCAAGCACCAAGAATACAGAGCAACACTGCCCCAGAAACAGTGTTCCACCTATACCTTGTAGCTAATAGCCACGGATTGACCTCTGCCCCATAAGTTTATCCAATCCCTTGAAGGTGTCTATGCTTGTGGCCGCCACCACTTCCTGCCGCAGTGAATTCCACGTGCCGATTACAATTTGGGTGAAGAAATACTTCCTTTTATCTGTTCTAAATCTACTGCTCATCAATTTCATGGAGTGACCATGAGTCCCGGTATTGTGAGACAGGGAGAAAAGTACTTCTTTCTCCACCTTCTCTATCCCAGGCATGATTTTATAAACCTCTATCATATCACCCCTCAATCGTCGTTTCTGTAAGCCCTAGTCTCCTGTGACCTACCAGAACGATTTAGGGGTCCCCTCTCCATTATAACAGCCACCCTGATTATACCACTGCGAGTTAATTACCTTTTTGTACCTCAAAAACACACAACTCAAGAGCCGGTGGACTCCTTTTCCTGGAGACCAGCCCAAGTGCAAAACGTGACCTTATCAAATTTCAAACCCTTTCCCAGCTCCTCTAAAGCACATCTGCAGACAAAGCAGGGTTGCCATTGCCACTAAAATCTTATTTTTCATTTCCCTGACCAACATTTGTCAATTTCCCTGACCACCATTCAAATAGAACCACAAGTTAAGAAATATTGCATTAATGCAAGGGAAGGTTCCACTCTACAACTACACAAGTCTCAACTGCAAAAATATTTGTCAAAGAGATTTAATATCAGCTTCTTTCAACATCAACTGCAGCAACATCTGTTTTGCAATGGCACCAAAAATGACACCAAGATACAAATTTCAATTCAAGTAAACTCTGAAGGCTAACAAAGGACAGAACATATTTGTTATTGTTTTAAAGGTACACAAAAATGTATATAAACGTTCTGTCTAAAAGGGTCGGGAAAGGGCACCATTGAGTTCTACTTGTGTTCAGCTACTTCTCGATTCCAGTTGCCACAAGAACAGATCAGGCTCTTGCAGCAGCAGGTCAAAAATCCACTGGCTTGAATATATTTTAATCACTATTTCCCTGACTTTCCCCGGCCAATTTTCATTTCCCTGACTTTCCCGAAAGTGGCAACCCTGCAAAGGAAAGGAACCAATGTTCACACCGCCTCGTCGATGGACAGAAACAAAACAGGTCTCCAGGGCAAGTAGAGAGACTGCTTCTCATTAAGGTGGACTTGGTGGGTCTCAGGAAAGCTCTGTTATATTTCAAAACGGGAGTTTCATGAAAGCCGTTTCACATTTCCACTATCGGGCAGCATTTTTGAGAGGGCAAGTGACCGCACTTCCAGTGACTCCTGGGCCTTTCTTTCTCCTTCTGTGGTCATGTTCCTATCCAACTCGACTTGGGAGCGAGGGCAGGTAGCTTTGCCCTCACTCTGATGTGGCTTCAGATCTCAGCCATGTGAATTAGCCAAATAAGAGCGAGGGCACAATTACCTGCCCATCATTCCAGATTCTTGGGAGCTTTTCTAAAGGGGGGAGAGTATATAGAGGCACCACCACCACTACCAGAGGAGGGCAGAGCATTCCACACTGGGGCCCCCTGAAAGATTGCCAACATGACCTCATTTGATAAACAAGCAACTGAGAGAGGTGGTGACCAGTGTTCCCTCTAAGCTGAGTTAGTGTGAGCTAGCTCACAGTTTTTTAGCCTCCGGCTCACACATTTTTGTCTTGGCTCAGGAAGGAGGGCTCCAGAGCAAACTGATTTATGCAATAGCCGAATCTCTTGCTCACAACTTTAATGCCAGTCGCTCACAAAGTAGAATTTTTGCTCACAAGACTGCGTGGCTTAGAGGGAACATTGGTGGTGACCCTATCAAGGATACTGTACTCAGCCCGAAACTTACTGTACAGAGAAAGAACCACAGCAGCCCACGCCAGATGCTGCCCGCCACCCCCTTCGATGCTATCCTGCTCTTGCACAGCGACACCAACCTTGTTGTAGGGCTGAGTGCAGACGATTTTCACCCGGTCCCACTTCTTCTCGGCCGTGGCCTTCACCAGTTTGTCGGGTCCAAACATTCGAACTCTGTTCAGGTTGGTGCCGCTCTTGCTCTCCGAGGGGGACAGGAAGGAAGACGTGACCAGCAGGACCTGGAGCGAACGGGAAGAGGGGTACAGCAGATATTGCAACGTAGACCTCAGCAGGTCTCAGTCTTGCAGTTGCTAGCTGTCTGCTCTACTTCAAACAGGGGTGTGCACTCAAGGACAATGAAACCTAACCAACCAAAACACCTCAGTACCTGGCATTACCAGGTAAAAAAGCAACCAGCGAGTAGGTGATGAGAAAGACCCCCAACGTAGGACCAGTGTTCCCTCTAAGCTAAGTTAGTGTGGACTAGCTCAGTTTTTTAGCCTCTGGCTCACACATTTTTGTCTCAGCTCAGGAAGGAGGGCTCCAGAGCAAACTAATTTATGCAGCAACCAAATTGCTCGCTCACAACTTTAGCGCCAGCAGCTCACTAAGTAGAATTTGTGCTCACAAGACTCCACGGCTTAGAGGGAGCACTGTGTAGGACTCCACGGCTTAGAGGGAGCATTGTGTAGGACCCTGGAGAACTGCTGCCTGTCAGAGCAAGCAATACTGGCTCGATGGCCCAAAGGTCTGACTCAGCAAAAGGCCGCTTCACGTGGGCATGCAATACAAGAAGAAGAGATTGGATTTATACCCTGCCCTTCACTACCCGAAGGAGTCTCAGAGTGGCTTCTAATGTCCTTTCCCTTCCCCTCCCCACAACAGACACCCTGTGAGGTCGGTGGGGCCGAGAGAGCTCTTTTGAGAACTGCCCTTGAGAGAACAGCTCTGAGAGAACTTGTAACTGACCCAGGGTCACACCAGCAGCTGCATGTGGAGGAGTGGGGAATCAAACCTGGTTCTCCCAGATTAGAGACCGCGCTCCTAACCGCTACACCAAACTGGCTCTCCTGGAGGAGAGGAGCCTTTGACGTCACGCAATTGACAGCGCAGCCTTTCGTGACAGGAGAACCTGTTTCCGAGTCACAACAGCGATTGCCGTCCAAGCCGGCCCCTCACCTCATAGTTCTGCTCGCTGGAGGAGGCCGAGCTGCCGACCAGCACTTCCACGAACGCAGAGCCCTCGTTGCCGATGTCGATGCTGTGGATCTGCTCCTCCTTCTCAAACTACGGGGCGAGAGAACGATTAGTGGGACACCCGAGAGGCTATCCCTGCAGCCCCACGCAGAGCGACGGCCAGCCACACAGGTTGCCCATCCAGAACGGACGGTGGCCCAGAGGGATCAAAACAAACCTGTGCTTGCTGTCTGGGGGCGGGAGAAGAAGGGGAGTGTTAGACATTCAGGGAGGTGGCAACACAGGCCCGGCAGGCAGCAATCGGCTTCCGAGTCTCACGAACTGTACAAGCGAGACTGCGACGGCCAAACTGGACGCTAGCCCAGCAACACTGGCCGTGGGAGTTCAGGCCCTGTTGAACAGCTCCCGGGCTGATCTCCACACATAAGGTTTGTGAAAGGAAAAGAGGGGAAAGCATCGATAGCATAAGGGGAAGAGCAGGTGCAAGAGTTACAGCAAGTACCAGGGCTGAGCCCAGGGTCCACAAGAAGATCCTTCGGGAAGCCGTGCTCCCACAGTCGATCAGGATGCAAGCAGAAACACTGGTCGGGCGGGCCTGACATCAGGCTGCTACGATCTAAAGAACTGGGCTGCAGAGCTACAGGTGTTTCCCTTCCCCTGCCACGTACGTGCCGCACATGACCCAGGTCGTCAACGGCCACAGCCAACCGCAAGCCCCAACCATCACCGCAGCCACAGCGATCACCCGCCCGTCCAGCGCGCTCCACAGCAACGTCTTTCCACTCGAGGAACGCACGTGGCGTGGAAGGGATCGCGGACCGAATCAGCTCCCGAGCACTGTTAACACTCCCTCGGGACATCTCGGGTGGATTTCCAGCGTGAAGCCGGTTCCGGAGACCACCAAAACCTCACCTGTAATATGGCCGAGACTTGCTTCTCTCCAGGCTGGGCAGCTTTCCATTTGCGGTAAGTGTCGGCCTTGAGCAGATTCTCGGCGCAGTGAGTCTAGGGCACGGGGAAGAAGGCAAGTGAGACAGGAAGGAAAAACGCACGGAGGGACAGGAGCCGTCAAACCCGGAACAGCCTCGTGCTTCAAGACACCGTGTCCTCCACAGCCATTCTTCTTCTGACGGGTTTCCCCCCCCGCCTTCCTCCAAGCATCTCAAGAGCACCTCTCCTGAAACCTACCCTCACAGCCACCCTGTGAGGTAGGCTGAAATGAGAGAGCACGCCTGCCCCAAGGTCACCAAGCGTGCTTCAAAGCGGTGCGGTGATTTGAACCCGGATCCCCCCATTCCTAGGACAGTGCTCTCAAGTGCCACGCCACATGGACTGAGTATGCCTCAGCCTTACCCCTGCACTAAACCACCAGACAGAAAAGCCTGCTGTCTATGCTTATTTGCAAGGGATCTAGGAGAGCCCCTCGATTAGAAGAAGCGGAACCCAACACAGAAGCATCCCTCCGACATCATGAGAGGGAGGGCAGGCAAGGTTGCCTCAGTGCTTAGTTCTCGTGGCCCTTTCTTACACGCCCAGGGAAATACTGGTCACCACTTTGGGGTCAGGAAGCAGTTTTTCTCCAGGCCAGTTTGGCGGGGGATCCTGGAGGTTTTCTTGTTATCTTCTGGGCATGGAACGGGGGTCACTGGGGATGTGGAGGGGAAGGTATTTTTGAAGTGCCTGCATTGTGCAGGGGGTTGGACTCGATGACCCCGGAGATCCCTACCAACTCTATGATGTGCCCTGGTTCAGTATAATTATCTAGTATGGTGCTTCTTAGTGCTTTCTGAATCCAGTTCTGCAGGCTGTGTTCCTCTCTGGGGTTGTTCTAGAAGGCACAGATACAGGACCAGTTTAGAAAAAAGCACCAACCCCACTCACTGCACACACATGGTGAAGACTTGGCATATGGCTCACTCACGCAACATCCAGTTTTTACCTTGGGGTGCTTCACCCCCTGCTCCCAGCAGCCCTCAGTCAGAGCAAAAAGCAGCCAGGTAAGCTGCAGGGCCCCCCCCCCATCCCCTGGTCCAAAACAGTCCAGTGGCACCTTTAAGACCAAGTTTTATTCAGGTACAAGCTCTCCCTCCTCTGTGAGGGCAGATTTACACGTTCCCCCCCCCAAATAGCTAGCAATCCAAAACAGTCCAGTGGAGCCCGAGCGGTGGGTGTTGCCTTCTGACACACTTCCGGTGATGTCAGGGTGTGTGTGGTATATGCAAATAAGTTATGCTAATGAGATATGCTAATGAGCTCCTGCACCTCTTTTTCTACAAAATGACCCCTGGGTGACAGTGTTCCCACTAAGCTGAGTTAGTGTAAGCTAGCTCACAGTTTCTTATTCTCCGGCTCACAGATTTTTGTCTTGGCTCAGGAAGGATGGCTCCAGAGCAAACGGATTTATGCAGCAGCCAAATGGCTCGCTCACAACTTTAATGCCAGGAGCTCACAAAGCAGAATTTTTGCTCACAAGACTCTGCAGCTTAAAGGGAGCACTGGTTGGGGTGTGTGTGTTTCGGTCATCTTCTGGGCGTGGAACAGTGGTCACTGGGAGTGTGGGGGCTGGTGGTGGAGGGAGATATTTGTGAATTTCCTGCATTGTGCTGGGGGTTGGACTAGATGACCCTGGAGTTCCCTTCCAACTATGATTCTACGATCAGCTAACCGTGTGCACGTTTGGGAAGGAGCAAATCATTCGACTCCGCTCAAAAGCAAAGAGGTAGCAGAAATTTCCACAACTCGCACAGGCTGAACAGGAATAAGCCGGGCCATGGACTCATACAGAGATGCAACAGTCAGCACGAGAAGGGGTGGGACACGAAATGGTTCTGCCCAAAGTTTCCGGACCCTACTTGCTTGCACCTCCCCCCACGTCCTGCAAAATGAACTGCTCCAGATCCCAGCAACCTCATATTCTCTCACCCCATCGCACCTGCTCCACCTCCTCACTTCCTTTCTGTGGGGCAGTTTCCTTCCCCCCCCCACACGCACACGCCATGGTCTCTTCCCCTCTCGCCTATGGCCTCATCGAAGAACCGTCTCAGCCCAACTTCCCACACCACACCACACACACGCACCCCTACCGAATGGGCTCTTCCAGGCGCCACCAATCAAAGCCCCTCCCCCGCACGCGACTGGCCAGTTCCAAGACACCCTCCCCCGCCCGTGGAATGGTCTCTCCCGCCCAAACCCCCGGAGAGAACGAGCGGCCGAGCAGAGCGGCCGCGTCGCGCACCGTATCGGAGCTGCTGGCAGACACCACATGTCGGATCGCGATCTCCGGCATCTCCCCGCCGGTTTCTGTCACCGCCGTCACCCGGCGGCAAAACTCCTTGGCCACCCGGAAGTGATGGAGGCGGCGGCGCGGGCGCTCTCTGCCTTACGCGCTCGCCTCCGTGGTTGCCGCCGGTCCTCCGAGTGGTTCTGCGCAGGCGCGGATCGTTCGTCCCGCCGAGGCGGACCGTAAAGCCCGTCGGCGGGCCCCGATCGAGGCGCATGCGCATTTGAGGATTATAATCAAATGTTTTCTATTTCAGACTCCTGCTTCTTAAACAGTGAGACGTTTGTCTTTGATAACACCCAGGAGCAGTGTTCCCTCTAAGCTGAGTTAGTGTGAGCTAGCTCACAGTTTTTTAGCCTCCGGCTCACAGATTTTTGTCTTGGCTCAGGAAGGGATGGCTCCAGAACAAACTGATTCATGGAGCAGCCAAATCACCTGCTCACAACTTTAATGCCAGCAGCTCACAAAGTAGAATTTTTGCTCACAGGACTCTACAGCTTAGAGGGAACATTGCCCAGGAGGTGTTCCCCCCCCCCTTTCTACCCGGCACTTTTTGCTATATCCTTTGGGCTGGAAATGGTAGTTGACATCCTCCAGGTGGCACCTGGAGATCTCCCGCGGATGACCAAGATCTGTTGCCCTGGAGAAAATCAAGATATAACAGGAAATTTTTCCAATATAAGCTAGATAAGACAAAACAACAACAACCTGGAAACACTATTACCATCAACAATTAATATGGCCAATGCAATGCTCCCTCTAAGCTGTGGATTCTTGTGAGCAAAAATTCTACTTTGTGAGCTACTGGCATGGAAGCTGTGAGCGAGCGACTTGGCTACTGCATAGTTTGCTCCGGAGCCCTCCTTCCTGGGCTAAGACAAAAATGTGTGAGCCGGAGGTTAAAAAACTAAGCTAGCTCACACTGACTAGGCTTAGAGGAAACACTGAGCCAATGTAATATCCTTATTCAAAACCTTTATCTTAATTATTTCAAGTTGCATTCAGTGCTACTCAAGCCCCTGGTAAGAGAGCAATCGGAACCACTGTAACAAATATGTATGCACTACCTTGTTTCCAAACAGTACTCATAATCATTTACACAATGGACAATAACAAACAGCGCTGGTAACAATCTTATATGTTTTTCATTTGCAATACACAGCTCCTTGCTGATGGTGATAGTGTTTCCAGAGGGGGGTTTTTTGGTCTTATCTAGCCCCGGAGAAATCGGCTGCTTTGGAGGGTGGCCTCTATGGCATTCTACCCTGCTCAAGTTCCTCCCCTCCCCAAACCATGCCCTTCCCCGGCTCCACTTCCCAAAACTCCAGCTCTTTCTCAACCCAGAACTGGCAACCCTGGGCTAGATTCTTTAATTTTCAGTGGTCCCACCCCTTTTATGCATAATAACATGACTTCCTGGTTCACATCCTGGTTCGCACCATACCACTGTTGCTGCCTATCGTGTTTGATAAACACTGTCAATGCCACAACCCGATTTAGATATTAAACCGAGCTCTTTAAAAAAAAATTTGTTCCTCATAGCCAGCAGGGCTCCTTATCAAGGCAGTAACATGTGTGTACTCCAAACACGTGGTCCAACCACACCCTAAGAAAGATCATGTCAGCGGTTCTGGGGGCCTAGGACCCTTGCCGTTAATCTAGCAGATCCTGCAGTTGCATCTGTATCTGTTAACATGTAGTCCTCAGCAGATAAAGGCTAACTGCAGGAGGACTGGCTAAAAACAGCTTTAATGAGAGCAGCAATTAAAACATCTCTTCTAACCCCCTAGAGCAGTGATGGTAAACCTTTTAGAGACAGAGTGCCCAAACTGCGACCCAAAACCCACTTATTTATCGCAAAGTGCCAAAATGGCAATTTAACCTGAATACTGAGGTTTTACTTTAGAAAAAACAACTCATACATTAACTTAAGATGATCCAAACAAAGTAAGGAAAGCAATCCCAAATGCTTTCGTTTACTTAAAACAATTTGGCAGAGAATTTGACACTTTAATGATGGTCTGGGCCTGGCTGGGGCGATGGCACGCGTGCCCACAGAGAGGGCTCTGAGTGCCACCTCTGGCACCCGTGCCATAGGTTCGCCACCACTGCCCTAGAGCTAAGGGAATGTGATTTTAGGGCAAGTCGACAAATACGTGATTCCATAACACTATTAAAAAATGGGGTGGGGCGTCTCTAAATTGTAAATTCTATGAGGTTGTGTTAATCTGTCGCCGCAAAATTAAACAGAAGGGAGCTTTGGGTCATGAGAGTTTATACTGGAATAAATATTAGTTAGTCTTTAAGGTGGAGTTTTGCTTAGTTTTTCTGTAACTGAGCTCAGTCCCACGGAAACAATTTTTCCGTAAGTGTGCTATCTTAATGAGGCCTAGGAAATGGGGATGCCGGCCTCCAGGTGCAACCAGGGGATCCCCTGGAATTACACCTCATCTCCAGACTACAGAGATCAGTAATGGATGCTTTGGAGGGTGAGACTCCGTGGCATTGTCCCTTACTGAGGTCCCCAGGCTCCAAACCTAAATCTCCAGGAGTTTCCCAAACCTGGATCTGGCAGTCCTAGGTCACCCGGTGGGCTTCATGGCAGAGTAGAGACTGAACCTGTACTTGGGTCGAGTCCGACGTCCTACCATACCGTGTTCTACCAAATTTCCCTCTCTGTCTCCTAGCACTAGAACCCAGGAGCCGTGACCCCCAATTCACCTCAGTTTACACCACAAGACAACACTCATCTGCCAGAGAGTTGAGAACAGTGCCCGGAACTCCTGATAGAATAATGTACCTCACAAAAGAAACCTCGTGACAAGAATGAAGAGCTATATGTGTCCCATTTTTCATCCTTGAACCGACCACAAGGCACGATAAATTGATATTCAAGAGAGTTTAATAAATGAGCCAGGTAATTTGAACACATTTACAAAGGGATTGGCTGTTCCATCTGATGGTCATTTGAGAGGAACCGAGACAGTGAGAGAGCAAATGGATTAGAACAAGTTTAGGTGGAAAAAAGCATTACTGGCAGGGCCTGCCTTCCTTCGCCCCCTCTGGACTCTTGCGGTGATCACCTGAGAAGGTCTTTGGATGCACCCTTCTCCTTCCACATCCTGATTTCCATTGTTTTAAAGGGGCCTGCCAGGAAGCTCGCTTGCTATAGATTACACCATGCACTTTTTAAATGAGATTGTGATTTTCCAGAACCATTCAGGCTATAAAAATCCTTCCCGCACAGACATGGAGGAATTTCAGACAGACGATATAATCCGGAACAGGAATGGTTCCCAAACGGTTTCTGGTCTGTCATTTCAGACAGAACCGTTTTAGAACCGGTTCCCTACCAGAATATATTTGTAATTTCACACACATACGCTTCTGTCCCGCTTAGGAAACGGGGCTGAAGTGTTTTACCTGTCAACCGCTTCCAAGTAGTCTTCAGTTTCCTCTCCAGGTTCTGGTGCGCTTTTTCCCGCCGTTTTTTGCCCACGCGGGCGATCTCCGGCTTTTTTTTAAAACGTTTGCTTTATAATGCTATAGCGCTATAACGGTATAACGTAACAACATTATATCAACCCCATTGGAATGCCTGGAGTGTTGTGTTATAGCACTATAGCACTCCAAATCAAACATTAAAAAAAAGCCAGAGATCGCCCGTGCGGGTGAAAAACAGCGGGGGGAAAACGGTGTGGTCTGAAATGGCAAACGGCTTCAGATCCAGCTCTACCGGAAGAGGAAAGCCATGTGTGAAATGGCAGCCCTATACCGGTTCATGACGGATCAAAAACGGCTTCAAAACGTGTTAAAAAGGGTAATGTGAAATTCCTCATGTACAACCACTTTGATATCAGAACACAGGGCCTGTAGAACCCCAGTCAGCGGCTAACATGGTGTTCCAGCAAGAACATCTCAGGGTATCGCCTAAAGTGTATGACGCAACATCAATGCTGTAGTTAAGTGGGCCTGGTCCGTGCCTGGATGCGAGACTGTCTGAGAACACTGCATATGCTGCCTTGAGCTCTACAGAAGGAACATGGCACATAATTTGTTAAGTCACTCGCTTAACAAAGAAGTCGGAGAGTGATTCAGCAAGAACACAACTTTATTCTTCAACTCGAACACAACTCCAACACGGATCAACATCTGATAGCCAGAACAGAACAGTTCTGCTATTACATTGCAGTTGTCCTGCTTTTAAAGTCTCCCGGCTAATGTAACCACACCCACTGTACAAATACCAACCAATATGGTTATTCATATAAGGACCAATCACGGACGTTCCCGCTCAGGGAGCTTGCTGTAAAGTGATTGGCTAGGTGCTTCCTGGGCTAGCAATGCGATTGGATGGATTTGGATCCTAGCCCAGGACGAAGCTCAACATGGCAGGTCAATTAGATGTTTCCCATACATCATGCATTCAGTGGCAGCTATTGAATACATTACATAATTGTTAACAAATACATCTTTCAGGAGAGATTATTCACCCCAGGGATGTCCCGTTGCTGACCATACTGTAGGACAAGGATCCCCAACATGGTGTCCCTTGGGTTGCCCGGGCACCCACCAACACGTTTCCTGGTGTCTGGCAAGTGTTTTTAGAAAGTGGATGGGGCTTTTCCCCAGCAAGGGTTGATTTGTCATTGGAGATCTAGTCAGCTGTGCAGATTTTTGAAAACGTTGCTTTGGCGGCGGCGGCAGTCATCTTCTGATGACTGAAGGGGCGGCAGCCATTTTGTGGCTCCCTCCACATCCTGCAGGAGCCATTTTGTGGCTGTGGCCGACTACGCAGTGTCAGAATTCCAAAGCTGCCCACAGGCTCAAAAAGGTTCAGGACCCCTGCTGTATGGTTTGCACATTCCAACCGCAGATATTTTAGATCCCCTTTGGGGGGATTCGTATATCAAATGCGCATTCACCCTCAGCCAAAGTTCATCCTTGAAAAGACCTCCCAGCCTTGTATGGAAGAACCGACCGATGGTTCGTTGCCATCATTGTTCCTGAACCACCCCACCTTGGTAAGAACTCCATTTCACAAACAACTCAGTTTGCCAGCAAGCCACTCGATTCGCTCCAGCTCCTGTTCCTAACAATGGGCTCAGTGTTCTACTGGAGCGCATGCGTTTCGCTATTCCTGAGGTGCTTCAAAGGCACTGCAACTTGGTCCTACGTAGAGAAGCCCATCAAGAAGCTGGTTCTATAATAATAATGATGACGATGATGATAGGAGGAGGAGGAGGAGATTGGATTTATACCCCACCCTTCACTACCTGAAGAAGACTCAGAGCAGCTTACAATCTCCTTGCCCTCCCCCTCCCCACAACAGACACCCTGTGAGGTAGGTGGGGCTGAGAGAGCTCTGAGAGAACGGCCCTTGAGAGAACAGCTCTGAAAGAACTTGTGACTGACCCAAGGTCACACCAGCAGCTGCATGTGGAGGAGTGTGGAATCAAACCCGGTTCTCCCAGATTGGAGTCCACGCTCTTAACCGCTACACCAAACTGGCTCTCCATGATGAAGCATAGTGAAGATTTTGGGGCTTGCACCCACGCACTGTGACCATAACTTCAGCATATCCCATAGACTCCACAGCATCCAAACCAAATCAGGATGGGGTGCCTTGCAAGCTCAGAGCATAGAGGATTCATACGACCGCTCTGCCGTGCTGGAACTATGGAGAAAAGTCATTGGTATTTAATCCCATCCAGAACAGTAGTGGTCAGGGCTATTTTTGGGCAGTAACGCACAGGAATGGAGTTCCGGCTGGCTCCCAAGTTAGCATCACCCAGCAGGAACTCATTAGCATAACAGGCCACACCCAGCAGTAGAAACTCATCAGAATTGGCTACATTAGGGGTGTGTGGCATAATATGTAAAGGAGTTCCTGCTCCAAAAAAAGCCCTGGGTTTTGACAACAAACAAGGTAAACAGAATAAACAGCAAAAGGTGGGTGTGGATGGATGACCACACTTCTGGTAACATGGGAATGCGGTCTAATATGCTAATGAGTGGTGCAATCAGGGGTGTGGCCTAATATGCTAATGAGTTTCTGCAGCTGGGTGTGGCCTATTATGCTAATGAGTTCCTGCTGGACTTTTTCTACCAAAAAACCCCTGGTAGTAGTGACCAGGGCCTTGGGGTTGGGGGGACACACAGCAAGGCCATTTGGACTGGGCCTCAAGTTCTTGGGGCCCCCCTCAAATTTACACTTTTGATGTTAACTCTTAATTTGGTTATAGTTTCAGTCACAGAAATATTAGCCTTCCCAAAACCGCCTGCTTATGGCGGGATTTTCCCCACCAGACCCTGGGGCCCTCCCCTCCTGGAATAATGGGGCCGGCCAGCCACCAGGAGATAAAACGGCAGCCGTCATTTTGTGCGCTCCTTCCCAGACGGCAAAACTGGCCTGTCTGGGAACCGGTGGTCTGGTTTCCATAGAGGAGTCTGCCGGAGTGGCTACGGAGGCGTGGCTGTGGCAGAAGCGGGAACAGCAGAGGGAGAAGGAGCGCGTGGGCCTTGCTATGCTTAGCATCAACTATGACACTGCAAGAAAACTAGACTTTTCCCAGTTTAATTGGTGAATTTGCACCCCAAAAAAGCTAGAAAATCACCTGTTAAATGAACGTTTGTTACAAAGCGTTACAAGCTTCTTTCCCTTATCGTATTAGATGTAAAGATTTAAAATATAATAGTACTAAGGTAAAGGTTCCCTTGCTCGAAAGCCAGTCGACTCCGACTCTAGGGCTGCGGTGCTCATCTCCGTTTCAAAGCCGAAGAGCCAGCGCTGTCCGAAGACGTTTCCGTGGTCATGTGGCCGACATGACTAAACACCAAGGTGCATGGAACGCTGTTCCCTTCCCACCAAAGCGGTACCTATTTATCTACTTGCAATGTCTTGCTTTCGAACTGCTAGGTTGGCAGGAGCTGGAACTAGAGATGGGAGCTCACTCCGTCATGCGGCACACTTGGGTCTCGAACTGCTGAACTACCGACCTTCCACAGCCTGCAGTTCAGCGTCTTAACCACTTGAGTTAAGTTAATAGTACTAGCTTTGTATAATTGTTTTCACACTTCTTAATTTTTTAATTTACTGGGGGGGGGCAAAAATGGAAGTGGCCCGGGCCTCTCTTGTGAAGGCCTGGTGAATGACCACTCCTTGGCAGGACCATTTGCGGGGGGGTGGGGGTGGGTGGGATACAAGCTGGCTTTCAGGAAGCCAGCACTCGTGGTCTTTGTATCCCACGGGTTGAAACTCAAGGCGCTCAGAGTCCTTGCCAAAAGCGGACAAGGTCTGGGGGAAATGAAAGCAAGTTGCGCTCGCTTGCCCCTGGGAGAGACCTGGCCGGTCGCACAAAGGGACTCCTTGAGGCGATCAATAGACAAAGGGACTTGCCCGTCAAGGAAGCACGAGGGCCGTCCAGGAGTTTAAGTGCCTCTCATCTGAAGCCACAAACCCCACGCCAAACTCCTGTTTACTCACCCACCCTTATGTAACTGCTCCGGCTTATATATCCCTGTCCAGTTTGTTGCTTCGGAGGCAAGGGCTCTCTGCCGTGATCTCGTCTCCAGCCGCCATGGAGAAGACCCTGGCCAGCCTCGGCCTCCTCCTGGCCACGGTCCTGGCCAGAGGTGAGTCCCAACTGAACTTCGGTGGGCAGTACCATTTCTGCCCCATCTGGGGAAGAAGCTAGGCATGTGTGTCTGAAGGACGGTCGTCTCCCATGAATCCCTGCCTGGGGGTTAATATCATAGGGAGAGGCCCTCCTGACCGTCCCACCAATTAGGGTTGTCGGGTCCCCTTGCTGTGCCGGTGGGGGGATTTAGGGGGCATTCCGGGACGTCCCCGACACGATGACATCACCTGGGAGTGACACCATCACATTGGTGACGTCACACAACAGCGCTCTGGTTTGAGGGCAAAACTCTATGGTTTTAGGCCACGTTTACCATAGAGTTTTGCCGTCAAACCAGAGTGTCCTAGGCGACGCCCCGCCCCCCGGCATGATGACATCACTTCTGGGCGACATCATCACGTTGGGGACCTCGCGTGGGGGATGTGGCTGTTTGGGGGCGGAGCTTCCCCCACCAGCAAACTGGTTGGTGGCGGACTGAAGCCTAAAAAAATGGGAGAACCACTGCCAGGACGTGAGGACTGGCAACCCTACCACCCATCAAGGAAGCTCATCTGGTGGGCCCGTGAGAGACGGCCTTTTCAGTGGTAGCCCCATGATTATGGAACAACCTCCCCAGGGAGGCACGCCTGGCCCCCTCTCTTTCAGTCTTCAGGAGACAGTTGAAGACAGTTTTATTTAGGGCTGCGCCTTGGCGTTTAGTCATGCTGGCCACATGACCACGGAAACGTCTTCGGACAGCGTTGGCTCTTCAGCTTGGAAACGGAGATGAGCACCGCAACCCTAGAGTCGGATTCGACTGGCTTTCGAGCAAGGGTAACCTTTACCTTTACCTTTGACTAATTTAGTTTTTATTTATTGGCCATCCTAACTGAAGATTTCAAATTGTGGTCTTTGATGGCGTTGCTTTTAAAACAATTGTTGTTTTATTTACATCATAAGCCGCCTTGAGTTCCACAAGGTAGAAAGGTTGGTAAGGAAGTGTTTCAAATAAATACATAGATAACTATGTCGTGTTTGGGAGTTCCGCAAGGTAGAAAGGTCCGCAAGTTAGAAAGGCAGATGATAAGTGTTTTAAATAAATACATTGTGATGGGGAACCAGACCCCCAGGGCGACATTCATGTTTTTGGACACTGCAGGGCCTTTGTGCTATAACAGTCATTCTCAACTGGGTTGTCTTGTGTGAACTGTCCCATCCTCTTGTGAATGACTCTAGCGATGTGAAACAACCACACTATCAAACAATGTGTAGATGCACTGTGTAGGTTCATGAATGTAAGGGAATGTCTACTTTGTCATGGATACCAGAGATTGTTTGTGAGACTGTTAATTCGGGTTGATATGAGGGATGACGCTTCCTTTCATACGCTTCTGTCCGTCACACTGTTAACCTACTCCTTCTTCAAGGAGAAATACATACCAGTGTTCCCTCTAAGCTGAGTCAGTGTGAGCTAGCTCACAGTTTTTTAGCCTCTGGCTCACACATTTTTGTCTTGGCTCAGGAAGGATGGCTTTAGAGCAAACTAATTTATGCAGCAGCCAAATTGCCGGCTTGCAACTTTAATGCCGGTAGCTCACCAAGTAGGATTTTTGCTCACAAGACTCCACAGCTTAGAGGGAACATTGTACATAGCTCTCCCATTTATCCTCATAACAGCCCCACGAGGTAAATTACCTGAGAGTGACTGGCCTGTGGTTCACCCAGAGACCCCACTCACTGCTGAGCCTGGGTCTCTCCAGTCCCCATTCAGAACTCTAACCATTACATCAAACCGGCTTGCTGGTTTAGCTCAAATATCCCTATTTCGGTAGCGTTTCTGCCTTGTGAGGGACGAACCCGGGAGCCTTGATTTCCTCACTGTTTGCTGTCTCCTTCCACGCTATTTCTCTCCCCCTCGTAAAAAGGTATGCGTTTTCCAACATTTGTTTGCACATCAGTTGCACACAAGCAGTATAAAGGTTGCACAAAAGGAACAAACGAGGCAAAAATAATCGTTCACGACGGCAAGTCAAATCCAGCAGACGGAAACTGAGGATGACGTCAAACTACGGAATCAGGAAGAAGAGAGCTAGCATAGTAGAGTCAGGCCCGTAGCCAGGATTTTTTTAAGTAGGGGGGCATTTCATTTCCTTAGGAGACACTGGCTAATTTGAATTAAAGGAATACCCTGCTCCTTCCCTGCACTTGCCACTGTTCGGGGTCCCTGGGCTAGATGAAAAGTCAGGGGGCCTTGCCAGTAAGCCAAGGGGCCTAGCCCCGAGATGCCCCACGGTAGCTACGGGCCCGAGTATAGTGTGTTTTTTTGGGGGGGGTTGCTGTAGGCTTGCCAAGTCCCCCCGGGGGCAAGGCCCGTTCCCCGCCGCCAGTGGATCAAGCCCCGGGGGGAACTCCACCCTGACGTGCACGTCGCCCGGAAGTGATGCGGGCACGCTGGGGGCGGGACCATGGTCATCCGAGGGAAAACTCTATGGTTTTCCCTCGGATGGTCGTGGCCCCGACCCCAGCGTGCCCGGCGTGCCCGCGTCACTTCCGGGTGCGCTCTAGCCTCCAGCCGGGAGTCCCCCGCTGCGGCTGAATTCGCACTTGGCAACCCTAGGTTGCTGGGAAGATCTGAGCCCTGGCACCCCTTCCTGTTTTGAAGTGCACGTGTATGGCTATACGAAGCTGCCTCATTCTAAGTCGGACCACTGGACCGTCAAGTTTAGTGTTGTCTGCTCTGACTAGCTGTGGCACATCGGAGACTCAGGTGGAGGTCTTTCCTGTCACCTTCTGCCTGATTGTTTTAAGTTTTAAGAGCCAGTTTGGTGTAGTGGTTAAGTGTGTGGACTCTAATCTGGGAGAACCGGGTTTGATTCACCACTCCTCCACTTGAACCTGCTGATGTGACCTTGGGTCAGTCACAAGCTCTGGCACAGCTGTCCTTGAAAAAGAGCAGTTTGTGTCAGAGCTCTCTCAGCCTCACCCACCTCACAGGGTGTCTATTGTGGGGAGGGGAAGGGAAAGGAGTTTGTAAGCCGCTCTGAGACTCCAAGTGAAAGGCGGGGGATAAATCCAATCTCCTCTTCTCTTCTTCTTCTTCTTCTAAGTAGAGATCTTGGGCATTGGCTCTGTGACCTTTTGCGTGCAAAGTGGGTGCTTTGCCACTGAGCCGTCCCCACAGAGTTGCCAGACTCCACGAGGGGCCTGGAGATCCCTTGGAATCGCAACTGAACTCCAGGCGACGGAAATTATTTCCCCCTGGTAAAAGTGGCTGCTTTGGAGGGTGGACTCTTGTGCTGCTAGATCCCACTGAAGCCCTTCCTGTCCCCGAACCCTAACTTCCCCAGGTAAAGGTAAAGGTTCCCTTTCTAGAAAGCCAGTCGAATCCGACTCCAGGGTTGTGGTGCTCATCTCCGCTTCAAAGCCGAAGAGCCAGCGCTGTCCGAAGATGTTTCCGTGGTCATGTGGCCGGCATGACTAAACACCAAGGCGCACGGAACGCTGTTACCTTCCCACCGAAGTGGTACATATTTATCTACTTGCAATTTCTTGCTTTCGAACTGCTAGGTTGGCAGACTCCACCCCTAAATGTCTCGGAATTTCCCAACCTGGAGTTTGAAAGCCTGCCTCGTTTTGCTCTCTTCTTTCCTTTCCCAGGATCCTGCTTGACCTGTGAAACCTGCATCAGCCCCGGCGAAGGCTGCAATGGCTTGGCCCATCCCTGCAGCCCAAATGAAGACACCTGCCTCACGCTAATCGGGGAGAACTCTTTGGGTGAGCAAAAGAAAGGGGAACCGATCATGCATCCCGTCTCAGCCCAGCCGGTGGCGCACAAGAGCTTGCCTGAGATTCCCTCTCCAGGTTCTGTGCCTCCTGTAGGGACAGGGTATTTCCCAAGCCCTCGGGACTCAATATCTTGCACCAAAAGAAAAGTTGATCGTTTCCCCCGACTGATCCAGATGGGCAGCCATGTTAGTCTGTCTGTAGCAGTAGAAAAGAGCAAGAGTCTAGTAGCGCTAACACGTTTTGTGGCGGGGTCGGAGCTTTCGGGAGGCACCGCTGAAGAAGTGAGCAGTGACTCACAAACGCTCGCACCCTGGCCAGACCCGTAGCTACGGTGGGGCTTCTCGGGGCCCGGCCCTCCGACTTACCGCCAAGCCCCCCTCGACTTCCCATCCAACCTAGGCCCCCTGATTTCCATTTCTAAATTTTATTTATGGTACAGCAGAGCAACTCCCTCTCGCCAGCCTCAGCCACTCTCTCTTGTCGGCTGGGCTCCCCTCCGCGCTGGGAATCTGGGCTCGCTGTGCCGGTGGGAAGATGGCAACAGGCAGAGCAAGTGGGGAGTCCAATTCCAGTGGCGGGGGGGGTTTCCGATGACAGCGGTAGGCGAAGGATGCGGGGCTGGGGTGAGCGCTTCCCAGTGGCTAATGGGCTGGCTGTGCCGGCGCAAGGGGGGAGGAGGAGGAGGAGGAGGCAGTGGCTCCTGCTGTCGGGGCTGGAGAGGGCCCAGCGGCCTGTATGTCCAGAGCGCAGACTGCTGGCTTTCTATTACAAACTGAGATCGAGGCAGCTCTTAAACAAGTGATTTCGTTTACCCAGCTCATAACAACACAAGGATAGACAGAGGCTTCAAGACCAAAGATGCACATAACCAGGCTGGCTTATATACGATTTGAACAGGGGTAACCACACCCAACAAGCAGATAACGTCCAATGGAATTACAGTGCTTGGAACCTATGAGAGTGGCTCCCGCCAAAAGCATAGGCTTCTCGGATTGGTTAGTTCTCCAATCCAGACGCTGCTTTGTTGTACTAGAACTTATGCTTAAGCTAAACATTGCTTTACTAACTGAAAAGACATAACACTTTCCAGGGCTTTTTTTGTAGAAAAAGCCCAGCAGGAACTCATTAGCATAATAGGCCACACCCAACAGCAGAAATTCATTTGCTTATTAGGACACACCCCTGACAGCACAGCTCATTAGCATATTAGGCCACACACCCCATGTTCGCAGAAGTGTGGTCGTCCAGCCACACCCACCTTTTGCTTCTTATTTTGTTTACCTTGTTTGTTGTCAAAACCCAGGGCCTTTTTTTGTAGCAGGAACTCCTTTGCATGTTAGGCCACACACCCCTAATGTAGCCAGTCCTAATGCGTTCCTGCTGTTGGGTGTGGCCTATTATGCTAATGAGTTCCTGCTGGGTGTGGCCAACTCGGGAGCCAGCCGGAACTCTGTTCCTGTGCGTTCCAACACTTCTTCACATGCTTTTAAAACAAATATTTGTAAAAATGATGTCTGGAGGCCTGCTGTGCACCCTCCACTACAAAACCAGAATGGAGCCCAAGGAGGACCACGTATGCAAAAGCCCCGTTTCCGGGCTTCACCCCCTTTCCTCCCTTTCTCTGTCACCCTCTCCACAGAGAGCTCGGCGGTCTTGGTTTTTTTACAGTACTCTGTAAAGAGCCAGGCGCATCGATATAACCAAGGAATAGCAACTGCCGCAGCAAAGCAATCCACTCCAATTGTGTGCAGAAATAGTTTCCCCAATCTCCAGGGGCGGCCAGGAGATCTCCCAGAATCAAACTGATCTCCAGGTGACAGAGATCACTTCCCCCTAGTTAGCCACCTGTTTTGAAAGCACTTTACAGTGTGGAGGTTACCGACTTGTCAAACACAGGGTTTACGAGATCCCTCCGCCCAGGGGTCATTTCGTAGAAAAAGAGGTGCAGGAGCTCATTAGTGTAACTCATTAGCATAACTTATTGGCATACGCCACACCCCCTGACATCACTGGAAGTGTGTCAGAAGGCAACACCCACCGCTCAGGCTCCACTGGACTGTTTTGGATTGCTAGCTTTTTTCGTGCAGATCTGTCCTCGCAGAGGAGGGAGAGCTTGTACCTGAATAAAACTTGGTCTTAAAGGTGCCACTGGACTCTTTTGGACAGGGGGGCCGGGGGGGCTCTGCAATTTACCTGGTTGCTTCTTGCTCTGACTGAGGGCTGCTGGGAGCAGGGGGTGGGGCTTGTTGCATGTGCCCACCCCCTAGGCTCTTTACTGCCGGAGCTCCGCTCCTGTGCGCTCCTGCAGGAAATGACCCCTGCCTCCGCTGAGGAATTTGCCCTGAAGAAGAGCAGAAACGGGTTTTCCAGCCGTCCGTTTGGTGCAGAGCCTCAGATGTGCCATTAATAGAAGTGGAGAAAGAATGTGTCTTCGACTGATGTTTACAACACAACAAGGAGAGATTGTCACATAGAACTTTGAATGGATGAAGAAGTTGATAACCGGAAGTTCAGAGTGGCTATATGGACCTAAGCACTTTATTCAATATAGAAAAATTGCACGTACTGTAAAATTATTCCGTATCTAGCATTGGTAAAAATCTTTATAAGGCCAAAGCAATATAAGAGATTGCATAGAAATTTACATAAAACAAGTCCTTAGGGAATAGATCGCAGTTGTTTGGATTGGTTGATCAGCTTCGCTTACCTGGCTGCTTCTTGCTCTGACTGAGGGCTGCTGGGAGCAGGGGGTGGGGCTTGTTGCATGTGCCCACCCCCTAGGCTCTTTACTGCCGGAGCTCCGCTCCTGTGCGCTCCTGCAGGAAATGACCCCTGCCTCCGCTGAGGAATTTGCCCTGAAGAAGAGCAGAAACGGGTTTTCCAGCCGTCCGTTTGGTGCAGAGCCTCAGATGTGCCATTAATAGAAGTGGAGAAAGAATGTGTCTTCGACTGATGTTTACAACACAACAAGGAGAGATTGTCACATAGAACTTTGAATGGATGAAGAAGTTGATAACCGGAAGTTCAGAGTGGCTATATGGACCTAAGCACTTTATTCAATATAGAAAAATTGCACGTACTGTAAAATTATTCCGTATCTAGCATTGGTAAAAATCTTTATAAGGCCAAAGCAATATAAGAGATTGCATAGAAATTTACATAAAACAAGTCCTTAGGGAATAGATCGCAGTTGTTTGGATTGGTTGATCAGCTTCGCCCGTGATCTTTCATAATTTGTAATCTCCAGGTGTGGCCAGGAGATCTCCCAGAATTAAACTGATCTCCAGATGACAGAGATCAGTTCCTCTAGATAGAATGGAAGCTTTGGAGGGCAGACACTATGGCATGGGTGTCAAACATGCAGCCCAGGGGCCGCATCAGGCCCCCGGAGGGCTTCTATCAGGCCTGCAGCGGAACTGGCTGCCTTCTGCTTCTTCTTCCAGTTCTGCTGCTGCTGCATCATTGTAGGTCCTGAACAGCATACTCAAGACTGCAACAGCACAGACATTTTGATGCAGTGATTCAGAGCAAGAGGTGTCAGTTATCAGACGCTGTTAAATAAACAAAATATCGCAAGAGTGCTCATGTTTTAAGCATGTTTTTTTTAAAAAAAATTTAAGTAAAAAACCCCCCCTTTTTGTTTGTGTCCTTTATAAAGTTTATATCCCCGCTACATGGCATTCCATTTTATGACACACATGACCCAGCCCAACAAGGTCTCATTTATGTCAGATCCGGCATAAATTCGACAGCCTTGCTCTACGGTATGCCATAGAGTCAAGGTGAAGTCCCTCCCCAGACTTCCCCTTCCAGAAGCACCGCCCCCTAGTGTCCAGGACTTTCCAAGGCCAGAGTTGGTAATCATATGCAGACGGGATAGATCTCATCCCAAATCCTCACACAGGAGTTGAGGCAGTAATCCCAGTTATAACATCTGGGGGGAGGGAAGAATAGTCGGACAAACCGCCTGTTTTTACGACGTCTCTTTTCAGTTGTACTCCGACCCGTCTCTCCCAACGGATGTTTTGTCTTCTCCAGGGGGAGGCGACACCACCGAAACCCTCAAGACCTGCATCGCTGCTGCCGATTGCTACGCCGGCTCCATAAGCATCAGCACCGGGGCGGGAGTCCAGATTCGGAGCATTTCCAGATGCTGCCAGGATGACCTCTGCAATCAGTGGGCCCTAAACCGTACGGCAAAAATCCCGGAGTCCCGACTACCACACCGCTGGCCCATCCGTGCCCCTCTGGTCACTTCTCTCTACCTAATAGGGTGGCCAGGTCTTACATGGCAGCCAGCGGGGGGGGTGTCCCTTTCTCTCTCTCTGGGACCTCTTTGGCACGCGCCGCAATGACGTCACCTGAAAGTGATGTAATCGCACAAGGCATGTTGGGGGGGGGACACTCTATCGTTTGAGGAGAAACTCTGTGGTAATCATAAAGATTTTTCCTTGGACGATAGAGCGTGTCCTGCGTGACGATGTCACCTCCGAGAGACGTCATTGCACCGGGCACATTGGTGCGAATGGGGCACTTTGGGGGGCGGGGTTCCCCTGCCAGCCGGATCGGGGCCAGCGGATCGGGGCCCCCCAAAAGTGGGCAAACCTTCTCCCCAGTCAGGGGAATGGGAACCCTGCTGCTACCTAACCTCGTGTGTTCCATTTTAGGGTTGTGAACCTCCCGGTGGTGGTGGTGAGGGGGGTTTGGAGATCTCCTGGATTTGCGGCCGATCTCCAGACTACGGACATGAGTTATTTATTTATCATTTATGTATTTAAACCATTTATCCCACTTTCTCCTGGAGAAAATGGCTGCCTTGGGAGGTGGACTGCACAGCATTATCCCCTGCCAAGGTCCTTCCCCTCCCTAAACCCCACTTTCCCAACCTCCACTCTCCAATCTCCAGGAATTTCCCGACCCAGAGTTGGCAACCCTAACCATCAATTAGTCCCTGTTGTAGGATTGCCAGCTCCGGGGTTGGGAAAGAGCTGGAGGTGTCGGGGGGTGGAGCCTGAGGAGGGCGGGGCTTGGGGAGGGGAGGGGCTTCAGCGGAGTGTAATGCCACAGAGTCCGCCTTTCAACGTGGCCCTGTTCTCTGGCTGAGCCGATCTCTAATGCCTGGGGATCAGTTGAAAAGACTAACAAAATGTGCGGTCGGGTATGAGCTGCAGTGGCTCAAGTGGTTAAGACGCTGAACTGCAGGCTGTGGAAGGTTAGTAGTTCAGCAGTTCAAGACCTGGGTGCCGCATGACGGAGTGAGCTCCCGTCTCCAGTTCCAGCTCCTGCCAACCTAGCAGTTCGAAAGCAAGACATTGCAAGTAGGTAAATAGGTACCACTTCGGTGGGAAGGGAACAGCGTTCCGTGCGCCTTGGTGTTTAGTCATGCCGGCCCCATGACCACGGAGAAGTCTTCGGACAGCGCTGGCTCTTCAGCTTGGAAACGGAGATGAGCACCGCAACCCTAGAGTCGGACTCGACTGGCTTTCGAGCAAGGGACCCTTTACCTTTATATGAGCTTTCACTTCTTCAGATCAGTTGCGATCACAGGAGATCTCCAGCCCCTGCAGTGTTCCCTCTAAGCTGAGTTAGCGTGAGCCAGTTCGCAGTTTTTTAAGCCTCCGGCTCACCCATTTTTGTCTTCCCTCAGGAAGGAGGGCTCCAGAGCCGACTGATTTACGCAGCCGCCCAATCGCTCACTCACATCTTTGATGCCGGGAGCTCACAAAGTAGAATTTCTGCTCACAGGACTCCACGGCTTAGAGGGAGCATTGCGGCGGCCACCCCCTGGCGGTTTGCAGAACAAAGGGAACGACCTGTGCTCAACAATAAAGAACCACAAGTCTTAAACAATTCTATCAAAATGTAATAAGGACACAATAAAGAGGACACAGCCCAATGTAATACAAATATAATGAAATTAAATATAACAGGGTGTGTTTTACATACCACAGGACATGAACTCTGTCAACTCATACACCAGGAACTCCAATAATATGGAACACAATCTCCCGGTTTTAATAGTCCCACAGGTAATAATAAGAACATAAGAACATAAGAGACGCCAATGCTGGATCAGGCCAAAGGCCCATCCAGTCCAACACTCTGTGTCACACAGTGGCCAGAAATACCAGGTGCCATCAGGAGGTCCACCAGTGGGGCCAGGACATTAGAAGCCCTCCCACTGTTGACCCCCCCAAGCACCAAGATGACAGAGCATCACTTGCCCCAGGGCCCCTATCTATACCTTGTGGCTAATAGCCACTGATGGACCTCTGCTCCAGATGCTTATCTAATCCCCTCTTGAAGCCGTCCATGCTTGTAGCCGCCACCACTTCCTGTGGCAGTGAATTCCAAGTGTTAATCACTCTTTGGGTGAAGAAGTACTTCCTTTTATCCGTTCTAACCCGACCGCTCAGCAATTTCATGGAGGGCCCACGAGTTCTTGTATTGTGAGAAAGGGAGAAAAGTACCTCTTTCTCTACCTGCTCTTTCCCATGCATAATCTTATAAACCTCGATCATGTCACCCCTCAGTCGTCTTTTCTCCAAGCTAAAGTGCCCTAAGCGCCTTAACCTTTCCTCATAGGGAAAATGTTCCAACCCTTTTATCATTCGAGTTGCCCTTTTCTGCACTTTTCCCAAAGCTATAATATCCTTTTTAAGGTGTGGTGACCAGAACTGCACACAGTACTCCAAATGAGGTCGCACCATTGATTTATATAGGGGCATTATGATATTGGCTGATCTGTTTTCAGTACCCTTCCTAATAATCCCCAGCATAGCTGGGTTCAAGGACGCACCGGAGCCTGGTGGATGAACTAATGTAGGTTTCTCCAATGTTCTTCTTTACGCATAAACTAGCAGATAATTTGTGTTTCGTTAAAGGGTTCTTCACTGTATGTCTTCTGCTCCAAAGGGAAAAAAATTCACCAGCGCGTATCGTTTCCTTGCGCAAAGTTGCTCCCGGTCTCAAGTCAAAGTGCAAAAAATGCTTCTCTTTATCACATCCTCTTTATTACATCTTTCTTACATTTTGATACAGTTGTTTAAGACTTGGGGCTGTTTATTTTTGAGCACGGATCATTTCTTTTGTTTTGCGTACAACTTCTGCGCTGCTCTTTGGTTTTGGTTTTGGTTTTGACCACCTGGAGGTTGGCGTTCCTACCCAGTTTCCTCACGTACTTCTAGGTGTCAGGGCTGGTATCAATATTCCCTGACGTGGGGCAGCTGCCAGGTCCCCGGGGCTTTATGGCAGGGCCCACTGATGCCCACCCCTCCAACCAATGCTCCCGCTAAGATGTGGAGTCTTGTGAGCAAAAATTCTACTTTGTGAGCGACTGGCATGAAAGTTGTGAGCGGGCGATTGGGCTCCTGCAGAAATTAGCCTCCTCTGGAGGCATCCTTCCTGAGCTAAGACAAAAAAATTTTATGAGCCGGAGGCTAAAAAATGGTGAGCTACAGGGCTTTTTTTGTAGAAAAATCCCAGCAGGGACTCATTACCATAATAGGCCACACCTAACAGCAGAAACCCATTAGCATATTATGCCACACCCCTGACAGCACAGCTCATTGGCATATTAGGCCACACCCCCATGCATTCCCTTGGCTTCCCCAGGGACCCCGTGGTCCTTAGACAGGCCGGGGAAGGCCTGGGGAGGCATTTAAATGCCTCCCCGCTCCTTCCAGCCCCCCCACCCCGGCCTGCCCGCCTCAGAGTGGCCGGGGGGGGGGGAGGTTTGCTCTCCAGGCCTTCCCTCTGTAGCCACGTATGCAGAGGTTTTGGCTGTAGTGGGCATGGCCGACTCTGAAGCCAGCCAGAACTCCGTTCCAGTGCGTTCCTGCCCCAAAATAGCCCTGGTGAGCTAGCTCGCACTAACTCAGCTTAGAGGGAACATTGCCCCCAACCCACTCGGTTGCTAGTGGCCTACCTGCCATCCTCCCAAAATCATGCAGTGCCCAGTGCCACTGCGGAAAGAGCCGCAGGACTCTGTGATCATGGGTGGAGGGAGGGCTCTTCGGCAGACAAGGGAAGGACACAGAGGCACGTGCGATCCTCCGGTTTTACAGCCCATCTCCAGACTACAGAGATCAGTTGCCCTGGAGACAATGGATGCTTTGGAGGGTGGACTCTGTGGCTTTGTGCCCCACTGGGGTCCCTGTCCTCCCCAGGCTCCATCCCCCAAACCTCCTGGAGTTTCCCAGCCTGCATCTGGCAACCCTGCCTCCCCATCCCCTGCCGGTGCCCAGGAGGGGACCTGGCAACCCTAGGCAGGTGGGAGGCATTCAGCTGGGTGGGAGGGAAGAAGGGCACAAGCAGAGTGAATAGTGGTGGACAGAGAAGGGGACCTGGGACCTTTCTGCCTGGCACCCCCCAAAAAACCTCAAAACCAGCCCTGAACCCGGACAGTAATAGTACTGACAGCAGAAAGACGTGCAATGGGTCATATGTCGGAGGAAAGGTACTTCTCCTCATAGGGAGGCTTAAACTGACGACTGGTGATTTGCTACAATGGGCTCCTCATCATTCAAGGCTTGGTTTTCGTCTCGCCATCTGGATTGGTGGCGGGCGGCCAGGGGTACCCCGCCTGCCTACTCTGTAGGTAGCGCGAAGAGGAACACCCATCATTTCTTGCCTTTAGGTCACACATAAGGAGGTGCCCCCTGCCTCTCTGTGTGATCTGCACGCGCGCATGAGCCACCGCTGATCTATCGCGCGTGGACAACGCACATCAAACCCAGCGGGAGAAGGGAGGAGTGGATTCCCTCCGTTCCGTTCCTTTGCCGCCCTCTGGGTTTGCTTGACCCCACTCTGGTTAAACTGGAATAAGCTCTACAGTTAATTTCAGAAGTGGCGCGTGCACCCCCTTTTTTTTCACCACTTCCAGTTCATCTCCCCCCCCTTCCCGCATCCAGGCAAGTCGATCACACAGAGAGGCGGCAGGCAGCATCCTCTGTGGGCAGACCAGTTGGCCTTAGAGGCAGCTGTAAGCACTGAAGAAATCCAGCAGGAACTCATTAGCATAATAGGCCACACCCAATAGCAGAAACTCATTAGCATATTGGGCAACACCCCTGACAGCACCACTTATTAGCATATTAGGCCGCACCCACATGTGACCAGAAGTGTGGTCATCCAGCCACACCCACCTTTTGCTTCTTATTCTGTTTACCTTGTTTGTTGTCAAAACCCAGAGATTTTTTTGTAGCAGGAACTTCTTTGCATGTTAGGCCACACCCCCTAATGTAGCCAATCCTAATGAGTTTCTGCTGTTGGGTGTGGCCTATTATGCTAATGAGTTCCTGCTGGGCGTGGCCAACTCGGGAGCCAGACGGAACTCCATTCCTGTGCGTTCCTGCCCAAAAATAGCCCTGAAGAAATCAATTCCCTGCGGCACACGCTTTGGGGATTCACTCGGCTAAGCTGCTGTATGGCTCTTCTTCTCCAGTGCCACCGCTGAATCTCAACCCCAACAGCCTCCGTTGTCCTGTCTGCTTTGCCTTTGAGTCGAACCACTGCGAGGGGAACGAGACCCTGGCCTGCACGGGAGTGGACAATCACTGTGTCTCTGTGTCAGGGACACTGAACATAGGTAAGTCTAATTGGTTCGCCAGGTTGGCTCCTAGGGGTCTCCGGGAAGAGGGCTGCCCTGAAAGTTCCCCAACCAGACGGGCTGCCCCATTCATTCATTCATTCATTCATTCATTCATTTATTTATTTATTTCAACTTGCTACCCCGCTCGAACCCCCCAGGGGGTCTCTGAGCGGCTTACAGTTAACCGTTATCCCTTATCTATGGCCACATATATACTGGGGTGGGGACTGTCCTAACAGCACCCAGTGGAGGGACGTTATTCGATCTTCTTCCTTCTGGAACGGCTCGTCGGCTCGGCTTCTTCTGGCTATCTGAGCCTCGGACCGCAAAAGTCAACCACTGACTTCACTTCCCCTTTTCTACCACCCAGGGGGAACTGGCCGATAAGTAATTTTCCTAGCCCCAGTTTTCTCCGCAGGTACCCAAAAGTCATCTGGTTCTTTCGGGCTTGGCACAATAACAGCTCTGGTTCAGTTCAGCCACTGTGAGAAACTCTAGCCTCATTAAACCAATAGCCGTTAGTGTGTTTGTCTGGATGTAGGCCATTGCACCAACTGTTGTTAGCTGGGGTCTTGTCAAACCAGGATCTGAAGCCAGAATATGAAGGTGGTTTATTAACCAAAGTTAGGGTTCCCAACTCTGCCTCATCAAACACCAAGAGATTGGGGGGAGGGGCGGTGCCTCAGGAGGATGGAGTTTGGGGGAAGATGTGATGTCATTTCAGGTGATGGCCTAGGCCACCTCACCTAGCCTCTATGGTGTTTACCACAGAGACTAGGAGAAAGTCCTAGAATGCCACTATATGAAAGGCATTTTTTTCTCCCACTGCTCAGTTCCTCAAGGTGCGAAATTGGGGCTGGGAATTGGTCATTCCACACCCCAGGCAGGTAAATAGAATGCTCCCTCTAAGCTGTGGAGTCTTGTGAGCAAAAATTCTACTTTGTGAGTTACTGGCATTAAAGCTGTGAGCGAGCTGTTTGGCTACTGCATAAAGCAGTTCGCTCTGGAGCCGTCCTTCCTGAGCTAAGGCATAAATGTGTGAGCCAGAGGCTAAAAAACTTGTGGGCTGGCTCACACTAACCCAGCTTAGAGGGAACACCGCTACTCACAGTTTTATTTATTTATTTATCTATATCCCACCGTATCCCCCGATGGGCTCAGGGCGGCTCACGACAAAAACAAAAATGATAACTATATGATTAAAAACCAGTTAAATAAAACCAGGTGGCAGCAAAGAAACATAACACCAGTCCACAGCAGCCCAATACGCTTCCCATGAAATGTTAGCAGGATGCTAGGCATCTGTAGGGCTATTATGGGCAGGGGAGGCCAAGATGGTTAAAAAAAAAACCCACCGCCTCAGCCAAAGGCCTGGCGGAACAACTCCGCTTTGCAGGCCCTGTGGAACTGTAGCAAGTCCCGCAGGGCCCTGATCTCAGTTGGGAGCACGTTCCGCCAGACAGGGGCCAGCTCAGAGAAGGCCCCGACCCCGGTGGAGGCTAAGCAGACATCCTTCGGGCCGGGGACTACCAGTAGGTGTTGTTCAGCAAAGCACAAGACTCTCAAGGGGAGAGACGGTCCTGAAGGCATGCTAGTTTTGTGTGGTTTGTTATGCCAATAAAGGTTTATGTATGTATGTATGTGTGGAGCCCCACCTACCTCACAGGGTGTCTGTTGTGGGGAGGGGAAGGGAAAAGAAATCATAAGCTACTCTGAGACTCCTTCGGGTAGTGAAGGGCTGGGTATAAATCCAATCTCCTCCTCCTTCTCCCTTCTCCAAGTTCCACCCCCAAATCTCCAGGAATTTCTCAACCTGGAGTTGGCAACCCTATCACTGACTATCTCCATTGTCTTTCGGCAGCGGGTCACCTCTCCCCCTTTGCGGCAAGGGGCTGCGGCACAGCCACAGCCTGCACTCTGCCCCTGGGGGTCGGGCTTTACTCCGCGGGAGTCATCTTCACCCTGGACAAGGTGCTGTGCAGCCCAGCGCCCAACGCCGGCAGTCGTGGGAAGAAGCTCTCTCAAGGATGATCGCCCTGGATGGCTCTCAGCTCCGACCTTCCACAAACCTCCCGACCTTTAGTATCCCAAGAAAGAGAATGGAAACCTGGCTGAAATCAGTGGGGATTTTCTTTCCTTTCTTCTGTTGCCATCTGTAGACCAGCCTCCACCTCCCCATTTATTAGGGGTGCCAGCCTCCAGGTGGGGCCTGGGGACCCCCTGGAATCACAGCTCATCTCCAGAGTACAAGAGATCAGTTCCCCTGGAGAAAATGGGATGCTTTGGAGGGTGGGCTCTATGGCAGAGGTGTCGAATACATTTGTTATGAGGTTTGGATCCGACATAAATGTTGCTTTGTCAGGCCGGGCCATGTGTGCCATAAAATGTAATGCCGGGTACTGGAGATACAAACTTTATAAAGGACAGAAACTGGTAAGCTCCGAGTCCGTGTGTCCTCACTGCAAGGCCCCATGGGCTGGGAGGGGGGGTGCAGAGGAAAACCCACATGGGTGGAGAGCCAGCAGTGCAGCGCTGGGGAGACACTTTTGTGCCCCAATAGCGGATCATCTGCACCCCCCTGCAGCCATCCGGGACAGCATCCTCGGAGCTGCAGGCCGAGGGGAGAGGCATGAATGTATCCGCAGTGGCTCCCAACTTACCAATGAGGCTGTCCCTGAAGTGAAGAGGTTCTGCTTGACTGCTGCAGACTCCACAATTGGAGTGGCTCCACCCGCCCACCCCCGAGCAGCCTCCTGTTCCCTCCCTTCCACCTGTTGCTCACAGGCCACATGACAGCCCTGGATGGGCCACTTCCGGCCCCTGGGCCTTATGTTTGACATCCCTGCTCTATGGCATTGTGCCCGAGGAGGTCCCTCCCCTCCCCGAACCCCGTGCTTTTCAGGCACCCCTCCCAAAATATCCAGGTATTTTCCAACCCGGAGCTGGCAGCCCTGCCATTTATCCAGACAAGGGTAGAAAGGTCGTTTCCAGCAGCACAGACCCTGGGTTAAGGTAAAGGTTCCCTGGTTCGAAAGCCAGTCGAATCCGACTCTAGGGTTCCGGTGCTCATCTCCGTTTCAAAGCTGAAGAGCCAGCTCTGTCCCGAAGACGTTTCCGTGGTCATGTGGCTGGCATGACTAAACACTGAGGCGCACGGAACGCTGTTCCCTTCCCACAGAAGTGGTCCTTATTTATCTACTTGCAATTTCTTGCTTTCGGACTGCTAGGTTGTGCTTAATGTGCCGTTTTTATTAGACCTGGGCTTTTGTAGATCCTTTTTTTTTTTAAGTGTCCTCTACATAGGCTGCCTTCAGGGCTCTATGAAGCCAGTGGGAAACAAATCTTAAAAGTAAAAATTAAAAACAAACAAAAATAGTGCAGCGAGCCACAACACCTCCCAAGAGAACAAATTGCCGTGCAGAAATGCTCACTTCTGTGACGTCCCACATAACAAGTTTCACACACTGCCTTTCCTTCCTTCCTTCCTTCCTTCCTTCCTTCCTTCCTTTTGGTGCAATGTTTTTATCATGCAAGTGGATTCCTTGAATAAAACAGCATGGAGAAAGAAAGTGGCTCAGCGTTTCTTCTGTTCTTTCTTCTGTTGCCATCTGTAGACCAGCCTCCACCTCCCCATTGGTGATCCGGAAGCTAAAAAACTGTGAGCTAGCTCACACTAACTCAGCTTAGAGGGAGCACTGTCTAGGATAAGCTGGGAGCCATTAGGAGGAGAGATAGAGTGAAGGGGGATCCATACATTTTTTAGAGGCTAAGCCTAGCCTTGGCTATTAGGTTTGATAGCTGGATTTGACCTCTGGGCTCCGATCCAGCTATCAAAGCTAAAATCTCCAGGTGTCTCCCAACCCGGACCTGGCAACCCTACTGTGGCATCAGACTGATGTGAAAACCAGGATGATGGACCATTGGTCCAGGCCCGAAGCCAGGATTTTGTGAAAACCCACATGGGTGGAGAGCCAGCAGTGCAGCGCTGGGGAGACACTTTTGTGCCCCAATAGCGGATCATCTGCACCCCCCTGCAGCCATCCGGGACAGCATCCTCGGAGCTGCAGGCCGAGGGGAGAGGCATGAATGTATCCGCAGTGGCTCCCAACTTACCAATGAGGCTGTCCCTGAAGTGAAGAGGTTCTGCTTGACTGCTGCAGACTCCACAATTGGAGTGGCTCCACCCGCCCACCC